GGTGCCACTGCACCTGGTAAAGCCCCTGGGTGCACCATCACCCATGGCAGGGCTCCTGGGTGCGCCGCCACCCATGGCAAGGCCCCTCGGGGCACCGACAGCCCTGGGAGAGCCCCTAACGGCGACGCACCTGGTAGGGCAAATAGTAGGGCCTCAGAGGGCACTATCACTGGATTGGCCGTGGGGGCAGTTGTTTTTTTGCACATTTAGAACACTGGGAGATATGAATAAAAACACCACCCATCGCATATCCAGTATCATCACACCATCAACAATGTAAAGGAGAATAAATATCCAACAGGAAAACATAAGCTGGGGTGTTGTGCTGACTGTCTGCTCTGTTCTCCTATTGGCTGTTATTTGGATTTACATTTTAGTCCACCAATCACAGTTAAGTAAGGGATTGCTGGACGTATGTAATATGTACGACACCACGACCCGGAGCTACAGTTCTCTCGGCAAGGGGCTCCTCTGTGAGGGCCCCTTAGGGTCTAGCCGGCCCTTGGGGCCCCACTGCTTCTGGAAGATCCCCTGGGGGCACCGCTGACCCTGAGGAGAGTTCCTGGGGGCATTGCTTCCCCTAAGAAGGGCCCCTTGGGGCGACGTTACCCCTTGGCGGGCCCCTGGGGGCGACGTTACCCCTTGGCGGGCCCCTGGGGGCGACGTTACCCCTTGGCGGGCCCCTGGGGGTGACGTTCCTCCTTGGCGGGCCCCTGAGGGCGCCACCACACCTGAGAGGTGTCCTGGGGGCACCGGTGCCCCTAGGAGAGACCCTGTGGGCGCCACCGCACCTGGTAAAGCCCCTGGGTGCGCCACCACCCATGGCAGGGCCCCTGGGTGCGCCGCCACCCATGGCAAGGCCCCTCGGGGCACCGACAGCCCTGGGAGAGCCCCTAAGGGCGACGCACCTGGTAGGGCAAATAGTAGGGCCTCAGGGGACACTATCACTGGATTGACGATGTGGGGGCAGTTGTTTTTGCACATTTAGAACACTGGGAGATATGAATAAAAACACCGCCCATCGCATATCCAGTATCATCACACCATCAACAATGTAAAGGAGAATAAATATCCAACAGGAAAACATAAGTTGGGGTGTTGTGCTGACTGACTGCCCTGTTCTCCTATTGGATGTCATTTGGATTTACATTTTAGTCCACCAATCACAGTTAAGTAAATGATTGGTGGACGTATGTAATATGTAGGACACCACGACCGAAAGCTATAGGTCTCTTGGTAGGAGGCTCCTCTGGTAGGGCCCCTGAGAGGGCTCCTGAGGGTCCAGCTGCCTCTTGGGGCGCCACTGCTTCTGGAAGATCCCCTGGGGGCACCGCTGACCCTGAGGAGAGCCCGTGGGGGCATCGCTTCTATAGAAGAGCCCCTTAGGGCGACGTTACCCCTTGACAGGCTCCTGGGGGCGACGTTTCCCCTTGGTGGGCCCCTGGGGGCGCTAACACACACCTGAGAGGTCCCATGGGGGCACCGACACCAGGATAGCTAAGGGCGACGCACCTGGTAGGGCAAATAGGAGGGCTGGGGACACCTCACTGGATTGACGTGTGGGGGCAGTTGTTTTTGCACATTTAGAACAATGGGAGATATGAATAAAAAACACCATCCCATAGCATAATCCAGTATCATCTTTCATCAACAATGTGAGAATGAAATATCAACAGGAAAACATAAACTGGGGAATTTGTGGTGACTGTCTGCTCTCTATTCTCCTATTGGCTGTTATTTGGTTATATTTTAATCCACCATCACAGCAAAGTAAACGGTAATTGGGCGTATGTAATATACACGACACCGACATAAAGCTATAGTTCTCTTGGCTGGGGGCTCCCCTGGGAGGGCCCCTGGGAGGGCCCCTAAGGGTCTAGCCGGCCCTTGGGGCCCCACTGCTTCTGGAAGATCCCCTGGGGGCACCGCTGACCCTGAGGAGAGCCCCTGGGGGCATCGCTTCCCCTAAGAAGAGCCCCTTGGGGCGACGTTACCCCTTGGCAGGCCCCTGGGGGCGACGGTCCCCCTTGGCGGGCCCCTGGGGGTGACGTTCCCCCTTGGCGGGCCCCTGGGGGCGCCACCACACCTGAGAGGTCCCCTGGGGGCACCGGTGCCCCAAGGAGAGACCCTGTGGGTGCCACCGCACCTGGTAAAGCCCCTGGGTGCACCACCACCCATGGCAGGGCTCCTGGGTGCGCCGCCACCCATGGCAAGGCCCCTCGGGGCACCGACAGCCCCGGGAGAGCCCCTAAGGGCGACGCACCTGGTAAGGCAAATAGTAGGGCCTCAGGGGGCACTATCACTGGATTGGCCGTGGGGGCAGTTGTTTTTTTGCACATTTAGAACACTGGGAGATATGAATAAAAACACCACCCATAGCATATCCAGTATCATCACACCATCAACAATGTAAAGGAGAATAAATATCCAACAGGAAAACATAAGCTGGGGTGTTGTGCTGACGACTGCCCTATTCTCCTATTGGCTGTTATTTGGATTTATATTTTAATCCACCAATGACAGCTAAGTAAGGGATTGGTGGACGTATGTAATATGCACGACACCACGACGCAAAGCTAAAGTTCTCTTGGCTGTGGGCTCCCCTGGGAGGGCCCCTGGGAGGGCCCCTAAGGGTCTAGCCGGCCCTTGGGGCCCCACTGCTTCTGGAAGATCCCCTGGGGGCACCGCTGACCCTGAGGAGAGCCCCTGGGGGCATCGCTTCTCCTAAGAAGAGCCCCTTGGGGCGACGTTACCCCTTGGCAGGCCCCTGGGGGCGACGGTCCCCCTTGGCGGGCCCCTGGGGGTGACGTTCCTCCTTGGCGGGCCCCTGGGGGCGCCACCACACCTAAGAGGTCCCCTGGGGGCACCGGTGCCCCAAGGAGAGACCCTGTGGGTGCCACCGCACCTGGTAAAGCCCCTGGGTGCACCACCACCCATGGCAGGGCTCCTGGGTGCGCCGCCACCCATGGCAAGGCCCCTCGGGGCACCGACAGCCCCGGGAGAGCCCCAAAGGGCGACGCACCTGGTAAGGCAAATAGTAGGGCCTCAGGGGGCACTATCACTGGATTGGCCGTGGGGGCAGTTGTTTTTTTGCACATTTAGAACACTGGGAGATATGAATAAAAACACCACCCATCGCATATCCAGTATCATCACACCATCAACAATGTAAAGGAGAATAAATATCCAACAGGAAAGCATAAGCTGGGGTGTTGTGCTGACTGTCTGCTCTGTTCTCCTATTGGCTGTTATTTGGATTTACATTTTAGTCCACCAATCACAGTTAAGTAAGGGATTGGTGGACGTATGTAATATGTAGGACACCACGACCCGGAGCTACAGTTTTCTCGGCAAGGGGCTCCTCTGGGAGGGCCCCTTAGGGTCCCCACTGCTTCTGGAAGATCCCCTGGGGGCACCGCTGACCCTGAGGAGAGTTCCTGGGGGCATCGCTTCCCCTAAGAAGGGCTCCTTGGGGCGACGTTACCCCTTGGCGGGCCCCTGGGGGCGACGTTACCCCTTGGCGGGCCCCTCGGGGTGACGTTGCCCCTTGGCGGGCCCCTGGGGGTGACGTTCCCCCTTGGCGGGCCCCTGAGGGCGCCACCACACCTGAGAGGTGTCCTGGGGGCACCGGTGCCCCTAGGAGAGACCCTGTGGGCGCCACCGCACCTGGTAAAGCCCCTGGGTGCGCCACCACCCATGGCAGGGCCCCTAGGTGCGCCGCCACCCATGGCAAGGCCCCTCGGGGCACCGACAGCCCTGGGAGAGCCCCTAAGGGCGACGCACCTGGTAGGGCAAATAGTAGGGCCTCAGAGGACACTATCACTGGATTGACGTGTGGGGGCAGTTGTTTTTGCACATTTAGAACACTGGGAGATATGAATAAAAACACCGCCCATCGCATATCCAGCATCATCACACCATCAACAATGTAAAGGAGAATAAATATCAACAGGAAAACATAAGTTGGGGTGTTGTGCTGACTGACTGCCCTGTTCTCCTATTGGATGTCATTTGGATTTACATTTTAGTCCACCAATCACAGTTAAGTAAGTGATTGGTGGACGTATGTAATATGTAGGACACCACGACCGAAAGCTATAGGTCTCTTGGTAGGAGGCTCCTCTGGTAGGGCCCCTGAGAGGGCTCCTGAGGGTCCAGCTGCCTCTTGGGGCCGCCACTGCTGGCAGGTCCCCGGGGGGCACCGCTGACCCTGAGGAGAGCCCGTGGGGGCATCGCTTCTATAGAAGAGCCCCTTAGGGCGACGTTACCCCTTGACAGGCTCCTGGGGGCGACGTTTCCCCTTGGTGGGCCCCTGGGGGCGCTAACACACACCTGAGAGGTCCCATGGGGGCACCGACACCCACGGGATAGCCCCTAAGGGCGACGCACCTGATAGGGCAAATAGGAGGGCGCCAGGGGACACTATCACTGGATTGACGTGTGGGGGCAGTTGTTTTTGCACATATAGAACACTGGGAGATATGAATAAAAACACCGCCCATAGCATATCCAGTATCATCACACCATCAACAATGTAAAGGAGAATAAATATCCAACAGGAAAACATAAGTTGGGGTGTTGTGCTGACTGACTGCCCTATTCGCCTATTGGCTGTTATTTGGATTTATATTTTAATCCACCAATCACAGCTAAGTAAGGGATTGGTGGACGTATGTAATATGCACGACACCACGACGCAAAGCTATAGTTCTCTTGGCTGGGGGCTCCCCTGGGAGGGCCCCTGGGAGAGCTAAGGGTCTGTAGCCGGCCCTTAGAGACTACTGCTTCTGGAAGATCCTGAGGGCACCATGACCTTGAGAGCCTGGGGTATCGCTTCCCCCTGAAGGCCTGGGGGCGGCATTACCTGGCAGGCCTGTAGTCTCGACGGTCCCCCTTGGCGGGCCCCTGGGGGTGACGTTCCTCCTTGGCGGGTCCCTGGGGGCGCCACCACACCTGAGAGGTCCCCTGGGGGCTCCGGTGCCCCAAGGAGAGACCCTGTGGGTGTCACCGCACCTGGTAAAGCCCCTGGGTGCACCACCACCCATGGCAGGGCTCCTGGGTGCGCTGCCACCCATGGCAAGGCCCCTCGGGGCACCGACAGCCCCGGGAGAGCCCCTAAGGGCGACGCACCTGGTAAGGCAAATAGTAGGGCCTCAGGGGGCACTATCACTGGATTGGCCGTGGGGGCAGTTGTTTTTTTGCACATTTAGAACACTGGGAGATATGAATAAAAACACCACCCATAGCATATCCAGTATCATCACACCATCAACAATGTAAAGGAGAATAAATATCCAACAGGAAAACATAAGCTGGGGTGTTGTGCTGACTGTCTGCTCTGTTCTCCTATTGGCTGTTATTTGGATTTACATTTTAGTCCACCAATCACAGTTAAGTAAGGGATTGCTGGACGTATGTAATATGTACGACACCACGACCCGGAGCTACAGTTCTCTCGGCAGGGGGCTCCTCTGGGAGGGCCCCTTAGGGTCTAGCCGGCCCTTGGGGCCCCACTGCTTCTGGAAGATCCCCTGGGGGCACCGCTGACCCTGAGGAGAGTTCCTGGGGGCATCGCTTCCCCTAAGAAGGGCCCCTTGGGGCGACGTTACCCCTTGGCGGGCCCCTGGGGGCGACGTTACCCCCTGGCGGGCCCCTGGGGGCGACGTTACCCCTTGGCGGGCCCCTGGGGGTGACATTCTTCCTTGGCGGGCCCCTGAGGGCGCCACCACACCTGAGAGGTGTCCTGGGGGCACCGGTGCCCCTAGGAGAGACCCTCTGGGCGCCACGGCACCTGGTAAAGCCCCTGGGTGCGCCACCACCCATGGCAGGGCCCCTGGGTGCGCCGCCACCCATGGCAAGGCCCCTCGGGGCACCGACAGCCCTGGGAGAGCCCCTAAGGGTGACGCACCTGGTAGGGCAAATAGTAGGGCCTCAGGGGACACTATCACTGGATTGACGTGTGGGGGCAGTTGTTTTTGCACATTTAGAACACTGGGAGATATGAATAAAAACACCGCCCATAGCATATCCAGTATCATCACACCATCAACAATGTAAAGGAGAATAAATATCCAACAGGAAAACATAAGTTGGGGTGTTGTGCTGACTGACTGCCCTATTCTCCTATTGGCTGTTATTTGGATTTATATTTTAGTCCACCAATCACAGTTAAGTAAGGGATTGGTGGACGTATGTAATATGTAAGACACCACGACCGAAAGCTATAGGTCTCTTGGTAGGAGGCTCCTCTGGTAGGGCCCCTGAGAGGGCTCCTGAGGGTCCAGCTGCCTCTTGGGGCGCCACTGCTTCTCAAAGATCCCCTGGGGGCACCGCTGACCCTGAGGAGAGCCCGTGGTGGCATCGCTTCTATAGAAGAGCCCCTTAGGGCGACGTTACCCCTTGACAGGCTCCTGGGGGCGACGTTTCCCCTTGGTGGGCCCCTGGGGGCGCTAACACACACCTGAGAGGTCCCATGGGGGCACCGACACCCACGGGATAGCTCCTAAGGGCGACGCACCTGGTAGGGCAAATAGGAGGGCCCCAGGGGACACTATCACTGGTATGACGTGTGGGGGCAGTTGTTTTTGCACATTTAGAACAATGGGAGATATGATAAAAACACCGCCCATAGCATATCCAGTATCATCACACCATCAACAATGTAAAGGAGAATAAATATCCAACAGGAAAACATAAGTTGGGGTGTTGTGCTGACTGACTGCCCTATTCTCCTATTGGATGTTATTTGGATTTATATTTTAATCCACCAATCACAGCTAAGTAAGGGATTGGTGGACGTATGTAATATGCACGACACCACGACGCAAAGCTCTAGTTCTCTTGGCTGGGGGCTCCCCTGGGAGGGCCCCTGGGAGGGCCCCTAAGGGTCTAGCCGGCCCTTGGGGCCCCACTGCTTCTGGAAGATCCCCTGAGGGCACCGCTGACCCTGAGGAGAGCCCCTGGGGGCATCGCTTCCCCTAAGAAGAGCCCCTTGGGGCGACGTTACACCTTGGCAGGCCCCTGTGGGCGACGGTCCCCCTTGGCGGGCCCCTTGGGGTGACGTTCCTCCTTGGCGGGCCCCTGGGGGCGCCACCACACCTGAGAGGTCCCCTGGGGGCACCGGTGCCCCAAGGAGAGACCCTGTTGGTGCCACCGCACCTGGTAAAGCCCCTTGGTGCACCACCACCCATGGCAGGGCTCCTGGGTGCGCCGCCACCCATGGCAAGGCCCCTCGGGGCACCGACAGCCCCGGGAGAGCCCCTAAGGGCGACGCACCTGGTAGGGCAAATAGTAGGGCATCAGGGGGCACTATCACTGGATTGGCCGTGGGGGCAGTTGTTTTTTTGCACATTTAGAACACTGGGAGATATGAATAAAAACACCACCCATCGCATATCCAGTATCATCACACCATCAACAATGTAAAGGAGAATAAATATCCAACAGGAAAACATAAGCTGGGGTGTTGTGCTGACTGTTTGCTCTGTTCTCCTATTGGCTGTTATTTGGATTTACATTTTAGTCCACCAATCACAGTTAAGTAAGGGATTGCTGGACGTATGTAATATGTACGACACCACGACCCGGAGCTACAGTTCTCTCTGCAGGGGGCTCCTCTGGGAGGGCCCCTTAGGGTCTAGCCGGCCCTTGGGGCCCCACTGCTTCTGGAAGATCCCCTGGGGGCACCGCTGACCCTGAGGAGAGTTCCTGGGGGCATCGCTTCCCCTAAGAAGGGCCCCTTGGGGCGACGTTATCCCTTGGCGGGCCCCTGGGGGCGACGTTACCCCTTGGCGGGCCCCTGGGGGCGACGTTACCCCTTGGCGGGCCCCTGGGAGTGACGTTCCCCCTTGGCGGGCCCCTGAGGGCGCCACCACACCTGAGAGGTGTCCTGGGGGCACCGGTGCCCCTAGGAGAGACCCTGTGGGCGCCACCGCACCTGGTAAAGCCCCTGGGTGCGCCACCACCCATGGCAGGGCCCCTAGGTGCGCCGCCACCCATGGCAAGGCCCCTCGGGGCACCGACAGCCCTGGGAGAGCCCCTAAGGGCGACGCACCTGGTAGGGCAAATAGTAGGGCCTCAGAGGACACTATCACTGGATTGACGTGTGGGGGCAGTTGTTTTTGCACATTTAGAACACTGGGAGATATGAATAAAAACACCGCCCATCGCATATCCAGCATCATCACACCATCAACAATGTAAAGGAGAATAAATATCAACAGGAAAACATAAGTTGGGGTGTTGTGCTGACTGACTGCCCTGTTCTCCTATTGGATGTCATTTGGATTTACATTTTAGTCCACCAATCACAGTTAAGTAAGTGATTGGTGGACGTATGTAATATGTAGGACACCACGACCGAAAGCTATAGGTCTCTTGGTAGGAGGCTCCTCTGGTAGGGCCCCTGAGAGGGCTCCTGAGGGTCCAGCTGCCTCTTGGGGCGCCACTGCTTCTGGAAGATCCCCTGGGGGCACCGCTGACCCTGAGGAGAGCCCGTGGGGGCATCGCTTCTATAGAAGAGCCCCTTAGGGCGACGTTACCCCTTGACAGGCTCCTGGGGGCGACGTTTCCCCTTGGTGGGCCCCTGGGGGCGCTAACACACACCTGAGAGGTCCCATGGGGGCACCGACACCCACGGGATAGCCCCTAAGGGCGACGCACCTGGTAGGGCAAATAGGAGGGCGCCAGGGGACACTATCACTGGATTGACGTGTGGGGGCAGTTGTTTTTGCACATTTAGAACAATGGGAGATATAAATAAAAACACCGCCCATAGCATATCCAGTATCATCACACCATCAACAATGTAAAGGAGAATAAATATCCAACAGGAAAACATAAGTTGGGGTGTTGTGCTGACTGACTGCCCTATTCTCCTATTGGCTGTTATTTGGATTTGAGTATTTTAATCCACTCAATCACAGCTAAGTAAATGATTGGTGGACGTATGTACAGTAATGACACCACGACGCAAAGCTATAGTTCTCTTGGCTGGGGGTTTCTGGAGGGCCCTGGGAGGGCCCTTAGGGTCTAGCCGGCCCTGGAGCCCCACTGCTTCTGGAAGGTCCCCTGGGGGCACCGCTAACCCTGACGAGAGCCCCTGGGGGCATCGATGCCCCTAAGAAGAGCCCCTGTGGGCCACATTACCCCTTGGCGGTCCCCTCTGGGTGATGTTACCCCTTGGCGGTCCCCTGGGGGCGACGTTACCCCTTGGCCGGCGCCTGGAGGCGCATCCACACCTGAGAGGTCCCCTGGGGGCACCGGTGCCCCTGGGAGGGACCCTCTGGGGCCACCACACCTGGGAAGGACCCTGGGTGCGCCACCGCCCCAGGTAGTGCCCCTGGGAGCGCTGCCACCTTTGCCAGGTTCCCTGGGGCCACCGACACCCCTGTGAGAGCCCCTAAGAGTGACGCACCTGGTAAGGCAAATGGGAGGGCCCTAGGGCGCACTATCACTGGATTAACCGTGGGGGCAGTTGTTTTTGCACATTTAGAACAATGGGAGATATGAATAAATACTCCACCCATCGCATTTCCAGTATCATCACACCATGAACAATGTAAAGGAGAATAAATATCCAACAGGAAAACATAAGTTAGGGTGTTGTGCTGACTGACTGCTCTGTTCTCCTATTGGTTGATATTTGCATTTACATTGTAGTCCACCAATCACAGTTAAGTAAGGGATTGCTGGACGTATGCAATATGCACACACTGATCCGGAGCCAGCCCTCTCGGCAGGGGCTCCTCTGGAGGGTCCCTTTAGGGTTCAGCTGGCCCTCAGCCCCACTGCTTCTGAAGATCCCCTGGGGCAATTGCTGACCCTGAGGAGAGCCCCTGGGGCATCAGTTCCCCAAGAAGGGCCCCTTGGGGGCTATCAGTTACCCTTGGCGGGGCTCCCTGGGGGCGACGGTCCCCTTGGCGGGCCCCTGGGGGTGACGTTCCTCCTTGGCGGGCCCCTGGGGGCGCCACCACACCTGAGAGGTCCCCTGGGGGCACCGGTGCCCCAAGGAGAGACCCTGTGGGTGCCACCGCACCTGGTAAAGCCCCTGGGTGCACCACCACCCATGGCAGGGCTCCTGGGTGCGCCGCCACCCATGGCAAGGCCCCTCGGGGCACCGACAGCCCCGGGAGAGCCCCTAAGGGCGACGCACCTGGTAATTCAAATAGTAGGGCCTCAGGGGGCACTATCACTGGATTGGCCGTGGGGGCAGTTGTGTTTTTGCACATTTAGAACACTGGGAGATATGAATAAAAACACCACCCATCGCATATCCAGTATCATCACACCATCAACAATGTAAAGGAGAATAAATATCCAACAGGAAAACATAAGCTGGGGTGTTGTGCTGACTGTCTGCTCTGTTCTCCTATTGGCTGTTATTTGGATTTACATTTTAGTCCACCAATCACAGTTAAGTAAGGGATTGCTGGACGTATGTAGTATGTACGACACCACGACCCGGAGCTACAGTTCTCTCCGCAGGGGGCTCCTCTGGGAGGGCCCCTTAGGGTCTAGCCGGCCCTTGGGGCCCCACTGCTTCTAGAAGATCCCCTGGGGGCACCGCTGACCCTGAGGAGAGTTCCTGGGGGCATCGCTTCCCCTAAGAAGGGCCCCTTGGGGCGACGTTACCCCTTGGCGGGCCCCTGGGGGCAACGTTACCCCTTGCCGGGCCCCTGGGGGCGACGTTACCCCTTACCGGGCCCCTGGGGGTGACGTTCCCCCTTGGCGGGCCCTTGAGGGCGCCACCACACCTGAGAGGTGTCCTGGGGGCACCGGTGCCCCTAGGAGAGACCCTGTGGGCGCCACCGCACCTGGTAAAGCCCCTGGGTGCGCCACCACCCATGGCAGGGCCCCTAGGTGCGCCGCCACCCATGGCAAGGCCCCTCGGGGCACCGACAGCCCTGGGAGAGCCCCTAAGGGCGACGCACCTGGTAGGGCAAATAGTAGGGCCTCAGAGGACACTATCACTGGATTGACGTGTGGGGGCAGTTGTTTTTGCACATTTAGAACACTGGGAGATATGAATAAAAACACCGCCCATCGCATATCCAGCATCATCACACCATCAACAATGTAAAGGAGAATAAATATCAACAGGAAAACATAAGTTGGGGTGTTGTGCTGACTGACTGCCCTGTTCTCCTATTGGATGTCATTTGGATTTACATTTTAGTCCACCAATCACAGTTAAGTAAGTGATTGGTGGACGTATGTAATATGTAGGACACCACGACCGAAAGCTATAGGTCTCTTGGTAGGAGGCTCCTCTGGTAGGGCCCCTGAGAGGGCTCCTGAGGGTCCAGCTGCCTCTTGGGGCGCCACTGCTTCTGGAAGATCCCCTGGGGGCACCGCTGACCCTGAGGAGAGCCCGTGGGGGCATCGCTTCTATAGAAGAGCCCCTTAGGGCGACGTTACCCCTTGACAGGCTCCTGGGGGCGACGTTTCCCCTTGGTGGGCCCCTGGGGGCGCTAACACACACCTGAGAGGTCCCATGGGGGCACCGACACCCACGGGATAGCCCCTAAGGGCGACGCACCTGGTAGGGCAAATAGGAGGGCCCCAGGGGACACTATCACTGGATTGACGTGTGGGGGCAGTTGTTTTTGCACATATAGAACACTGGGAGATATGAATAAAAACACCGCCCATAGCATATCCAGTATCATCACACCATCAACAATGTAAAGGAGAATAAATATCCAACAGGAAAACATAAGTTGGGGTGTTGTGCTGACTGACTGCCCTATTCTCCTATTGGCTGTTATTTGGATTTATATTTTAATCCACCAATCACAGCTAAGTAAGGGATTGGTGGACGTATGTAATATGCACGACACCACGACGCAAAGCTATAGTTCTCTTGGCTGGGGGCTCCCCTGGGAGGGCCCCTGGGAGGGCCCCTAAGGGTCTAGCCGGCCCTTGGGGCCCCACTGCTTCTGGAAGATCCCCTGGGGGCACCGCTGACCCTGAGGAGAGCCCCTGGGGGCATCGCTTCTCCTAAGAAGAGCCCCTTGGGGCGACGTTACCCCTTGGCAGGCCCCTGGGGGCGACGGTCCCCCTTGGCGGGCCCCTGGGGGTGACGTTCCTCCTTGGCGGGCCCCTGGGGGCGCCACCACACCTGAGAGGTCCCCTGGGGGCACCGGTGCCCCAAGGAGAGACCCTGTGGGTGCCACCGCACCTGGTAAAGCCCCTGGGTGCACCACCACCCATGGCAGGGCTCCTGGGTGCGCCGCCACCCATGGCAAGGCCCCTCGGGGCACCGACAGCCCCGGGAGAGCCCCTAAGGGCGACGCACCTGGTAAGGCAAATAGTAGGGCCTCAGGGGGCACTATCACTGGATTGGCCGTGGGGGCAGTTGTTTTTTTGCACATTTAGAACACTGGGAGATATGAATAAAAACACCACCCATCGCATATCCAGTATCATCACACCATCAACAATGTAAAGGAGAATAAATATCCAACAGGAAAGCATAAGCTGGGGTGTTGTGCTGACTGTCTGCTCTGTTCTCCTATTGGCTGTTATTTGGATTTACATTTTAGTCCACCAATCACAGTTAAGTAAGGGATTGGTGGACGTATGTAATATGTAGGACACCACGACCCGGAGCTACAGTTTTCTCGGCAAGGGGCTCCTCTGGGAGGGCCCCTTAGGGTCCCCACTGCTTCTGGAAGATCCCCTGGGGGCACCGCTGACCCTGAGGAGAGTTCCTGGGGGCATCGCTTCCCCTAAGAAGGGCTCCTTGGGGCGACGTTACCCCTTGGCGGGCCCCTGGGGGCGACGTTACCCCTTGGCGGGCCCCTCGGGGTGACGTTGCCCCTTGGCGGGCCCCTGGGGGTGACGTTCCCCCTTGGCGGGCCCCTGAGGGCGCCACCACACCTGAGAGGTGTCCTGGGGGCACCGGTGCCCCTAGGAGAGACCCTGTGGGCGCCACCGCACCTGGTAAAGCCCCTGGGTGCGCCACCACCCATGGCAGGGCCCCTAGGTGCGCCGCCACCCATGGCAAGGCCCCTCGGGGCACCGACAGCCCTGGGAGAGCCCCTAAGGGCGACGCACCTGGTAGGGCAAATAATAGGGCCTCAGGGGACACTATCACTGGATTGACGTGTGGGGGCAGTTGTTTTTGCACATTTAGAACACTGGGAGATATGAATAAAAACACCGCCCATCGCATATCCAGCATCATCACACCATCAACAATGTAAAGGAGAATAAATATCCAACAGGAAAACATAAGCTGGGGTGTTGTGCTGACTGACTGCCCTGTTCTCCTATTGGATGTCATTTGGATTTACATTTTAGTCCACCAATCACAGTTAAGTAAGTGATTGGTGGACGTATGTAATATGTAGGACACCACGACCGAAAGCTATAGGTCTCTTGGTAGGAGGCTCCTCTGGTAGGGCCCCTGAGAGGGCTCCTGAGGGTCCAGCTGCCTCTTGGGGTGCCACTGCTTCTGGAAGATCCCCTGGGGGCACCGCTGACCCTGAGGAGAGCCCGTGGGGGCATCGCTTCTATAGAAGAGCCCCTTAGGGCGACGTTACTCCTGGGGGCGACGTTTCCCCTTGGTGGGCCCCTGGGGGCGCTAACACACACCTAAGAGGTCCCATGGGGGCACCGACACCCACGGGATAGCCCCTAAGGGCGACGCACCTGGTAGGGCAAATAGGAGGGCCCCAGGGGACACTATCACTGGATTGACGTGTGGGGGCAGTTGTTTTTGCACATTTAGAACAATGGGAGATATGAATAAATACACCGCCCATAGCATATCCAGTATCATCACACCATCAACAATGTAAAGGAGAATAAATATCCAACAGGAAAACATAAGTTGGGGTGTTGTGCTGACTGACTGCCCTATTCTCCTATTGGCTGTTATTTGGATTTATATTTTAATCCACCAATCACAGCTAAGTAAGGGATTGGTGGACGTATGTAATATGCACGACAGCGCGACGCCAAGCTCTAGTTCTCTTGGCTGGGGGCTCCCCTGGGAGGGCCCCTGGGAGGGCCCCTAAGGGTCTAGCCGGCCCTTGGGGCCCCACTGCTTCTGGAAGATCCCCTGAGGGCACCGCTGACCCTGAGGAGAGCCCCTGGGGGCATCGCTTCCCAAGAAGAGCCCTTGGGGCGACGCACACCTTGGTGTCTCTGTGGGCGACGGTCCCTCTTGGCGGGCCCCTGGGGTGACGTTCTCCTTGGCGGGCCCTGGGGGCGCCACCACACCTGAGAGTGTTTCTGGGGCACCGGTGCCCCAAGGAGAGATCTCTGTTGGTGCCACTGCACCTGGTGGAAGCCCCTGGGTGCACCACCACCCAGAGCTCCTGGGTGTCGCCACCCTTGGCAGGGCCCCTGGGGGCACTGACACCTTTTGGAGACCCCTAAGGGCGACGCACCTGGTAGGGCAAACGGGAGCGCCTCAGGGGCACTACAGTATCACTGGATTGACCGTGGGGGCAGTTGTTTTTGCACATTTAGAACAATGGAAGATATGAATAAAAACACCGCCCATTGCATTTCCAGTATAATCGCACCATGAAGAATGTAAAGGAGAATAAATATCCAACAGGAAAACATAAGTTGGGGTGTTGTGTTGACTGACTGCCCTGTTCTCCTATTGGCTGTTATTTGGATTTACATTTTAGTCCACCAATCACAGTTAAGTAAGGGATTGCTGGACGTATGTAATATGTACGACACCACGACCCGGAGCTACAGTTCTCTCGGCAGGGGGCTCCTCTGGGAGGGCCCCTTAGGGTCTAGCCGGCCCTTGGGGCCCCACTGCTTCTGGAAGATCCCCTGGGGGCACCGCTGACCCTGAGGAGAGTTCCTGGGGGCATCGCTTCCCCTAAGAAGGGCCCCTTGGGGCGACGTTACCCCTTGGCGGGCCCCTGGGGGCGACGTTACCCCCTGGCGGGCCCCTGGGGGCGACGTTACCCCTTGGCGGGCCCCTGGGGGTGACATTCTTCCTTGGCGGGCCCCTGAGGGCGCCACCACACCTGAGAGGTGTCCTGGGGGCACCGGTGCCCCTAGGAGAGACCCTCTGGGCGCCACGGCACCTGGTAAAGCCCCTGGGTGCGCCACCACCCATGGCAGGGCCCCTGGGTGCGCCGCCACCCATGGCAAGGCCCCTCGGGGCACCGACAGCCCTGGGAGAGCCCCTAAGGGTGACGCACCTGGTAGGGCAAATAGTAGGGCCTCAGGGGACACTATCACTGGATTGACGTGTGGGGGCAGTTGTTTTTGCACATTTAGAACACTGGGAGATATGAATAAAAACACCGCCCATAGCATATCCAGTATCATCACACCATCAACAATGTAAAGGAGAATAAATATCCAACAGGAAAACATAAGTTGGGGTGTTGTGCTGACTGACTGCCCTATTCTCCTATTGGCTGTTATTTGGATTTATATTTTAGTCCACCAATCACAGTTAAGTAAGGGATTGGTGGACGTATGTAATATGTAAGACACCACGACCGAAAGCTATAGGTCTCTTGGTAGGAGGCTCCTCTGGTAGGGCCCCTGAGAGGGCTCCTGAGGGTCCAGCTGCCTCTTGGGGCGCCACTGCTTCTCAAAGATCCCCTGGGGGCACCGCTGACCCTGAGGAGAGCCCGTGGTGGCATCGCTTCTATAGAAGAGCCCCTTAGGGCGACGTTACCCCTTGACAGGCTCCTGGGGGCGACGTTTCCCCTTGGTGGGCCCCTGGGGGCGCTAACACACACCTGAGAGGTCCCATGGGGGCACCGACACCCACGGGATAGCCCCTAAGGGCGACGCACCTGGTAGGGCAAATAGGAGGGCGCCAGGGGACACTATCACTGGATTGACGTGTGGGGGCAGTTGTTTTTGCACATTTAGAACAATGGGAGATATGAATAAAAACACCGCCCATAGCATATCCAGTATCATCACACCATCAACAATGTAAAGGAGAATAAATATCCAACAGGAAAACATAAGTTGGGGTGTTGTGCTGACTGACTGCCCTATTCTCCTATTGGCTGTTATTTGGATTTATATTTTAATCCACCAATCACAGCTAAGTAAGGGATTGGTGGACGTATGTAATATGCACGACACCACGACGCAAAGCTAAAGTTCTCTTGGCTGGGGGCTTCCCTGGGAGGGCCCCTGGGAGGGCCCCTAAGGGTCTAGCCGGCCCTTGGGGCCCCACTGCTTCTGGAAGATCCCCTGGGGGCACCGCTGACCCTGAGGAGAGCCCCTGGGGGCATCGCTTCTCCTAAGAAGAGCCCCATGGGGCGACGTTACCCCTTGGCAGGCCCCTGGGGGCGACGGTCCCCCTTGGCGGGCCCCTGGGGGTGACGTTCCTCCTTGGCGGGCCCCTGGGGGCGCCACCACACCTGAGAGGTCCCCTGGGGGCACCGGTGCCCCAAGGAGAGACCCTGTGGGTGCCACCGCACCTGGTAAAGCCCCTGGGTGCACCACCACCCATGGCAGGGCTCCTGGGTGCGCCGCCACCCATGGCAAGGCCCCTCGGGGCACCGACAGCCCCAGGAGAGCCCCTAAGGGCGACGCACCTGGTAAGGCAAATAGTAGGGCCTCAGGGGGCACTATCACTGGATTGGCCGTGGGGGCAGTTGTTTTTTTGCACATTTAGAACACTGGGAGATATGAATAAAAACACCACCCATAGCATATCCAGTATCATCACACCATCAACAATGTAAAGGAGAATAAATATCCAACAGGAAAACATAAGCTGGGGTGTTGTGCTGACTGTCTGCTCTGTTCTCCTATTGGCTGTTATTTGGATTTACATTTTAGTCCACCAATCACAGTTAAGTAAGGGATTGGTGGACGTATGTAATATGTAGGACACCACGACCGAAAGCTATAGGTCTCTTGGTAGGAGGCTCCTCTGGGAGGGCCCCTTAGGGTCCCCACTGCTTCTGGAAGATCCCCTGGGGGCACCGCTGACCCTGAGGAGAGTTCCTGGGGGCATCGCTTCCCCTAAGAAGGGCTCCTTGGGGCGACGTTACCCCTTGGCGGGCCCCTGGGGGCGACGTTACCCCTTGGCGGGCCCCTGGGGGTGACGTTGCCCCTTGGCGGGCCCCTGGGGGTGACGTTCCCCCTTGGCGGGCCCCTGAGGGCGCCACCACACCTGAGAGGTGTCCTGGGGGCACCGGTGCCCCTAGGAGAGACCCTGTGGGCGCCACCGCACCTGGTAAAGCCCCTGGGTGCGCCACCACCCATGGCAGGGCCCCTAGGTGCGCCGCCACCCATGGCAAGGCCCCTCGGGGCACCGACAGCCCTGGGAGAGCCCCTAAGGGCGACGCACCTGGTAGGGCAAATAGTAGGGCCTCAGAGGACACTATCACTGGATTGACGTGTGGGGGCAGTTGTTTTTGCACATTTAGAACACTGGGAGATATGAATAAAAACACCGCCCATCGCATATCCAGCATCATCACACCATCAACAATGTAAAGGAGAATAAATATCAACAGGAAAACATAAGTTGGGGTGTTGTGCTGACTGACTGCCCTGTTCTCCTATTGGATGTCATTTGGATTTACATTTTAGTCCACCAATCACAGTTAAGTAAGTGATTGGTGGACGTATGTAATATGTAGGACACCACGACCGAAAGCTATAGGTCTCTTGGTAGGAGGCTCCTCTGGTAGGGCCCCTGAGAGGGCTCCTGAGGGTCCAGCTGCCTCTTGGGGCGCCACTGCTTCTGGAAGATCCCCTGGGGGCACCGCTGACCCTGAGGAGAGCCCGTGGGGGCATCGCTTCTATAGAAGAGCCCCTTAGGGCGACGTTACCCCTTGACAGGCTCCTGGGGGCGACGTTTCCCCTTGGTGGGCCCCTGGGGGCGCTAACACACACCTGAGAGGTCCCATGGGGGCACCGACACCCACGGGATAGCTCCTAAGGGCGACGCACCTGGTAGGGCAAATAGGAGGGCCCCAGGGGACACTATCACTGGTATGACGTGTGGGGGCAGTTGTTTTTGCACATTTAGAACAATGGGAGATATGAATAAAAACACCGCCCATAGCATATCCAGTATCATCACACCATCAACAATGTAAAGGAGAATAAATATCCAACAGGAAAACATAAGTTGGGGTATTGTGCTGACTGACTGCCCTATTCTCCTATTGGCTGTTATTTGGATTTATATTTTAATCCACCAATCACAGCTAAGTAAGGGATTGGTGGACGTATGTAATATGCACGACACCACGACGCAAAGCTATAGTTCTCTTGGCTGGGGGCTCCTCTGGGAGGGCCCCTGGGAGGGCCCCTTAGGGTCTAGCCGGCCCTTGGGGCCCCACTGCTTCTGGAAGATCCCCTGGGGGCACCGCTGACCCTGAGGAGAGCCCCTGGGGGCATCGCTTCCCCTAAGAAGGGCCCCTTGGGGCGACGTTACCCCTTGGCGGGCCCCTGGGGGCGACGGTCCCCCTTGGCGAGCCCTGGGGGTGACGTTCCTCCTTGGCGGGCCCCTGGGGGCGCCACCACACCTGAGAGGTCCCCTGGGGGCACCGGTGCCCCAAGGAGAGACCCTGTGGGTTCCACCGCACCTGGTAAAGCCCCTGGGTGCACCACCACCCATGGCAGGGCTCCTGGGTGCGCCGCCACCCATGGCAAGGCCCCTCGGGGCACCGACAGCCCCGGGAGAGCCCCTAAGGGCGACGCACCTGGTAGGGCAAATATTAGGGCCTCAGGGGGCACTATCACTGGATTGGCCGTGGGGGCAGTTGTTTTTTTGCACATTTAGAACACTGGGAGATATGAATAAAAACACCACCCATCGCATATCCAGTATCATCACACCATCAACAATGTAAAGGAGAATAAATATCCAACAGGAAAACATAAGCTGGGGTGTTGTGCTGACTGTTTGCTCTGTTCTCCTATTGGCTGTTATTTGGATTTACATTTTAGTCCACCAATCACAGTTAAGTAAGGGATTGCTGGACGTATGTAATATGTACGACACCACGACCCGGAGCTACAGTTCTCTCTGCAGGGGGCTCCTCTGGGAGGGCCCCTTAGGGTCTAGCCGGCCCTTGGGGCCCCACTGCTTCTGGAAGATCCCCTGGGGGCACCGCTGACCCTGAGGAGAGTTCCTGGGGGCATCGCTTCCCCTAAGAAGGGCCCCTTGGGGCGACGTTACCCCTTGGCGGGCCCCTGGGGGCAACGTTACCCCTTGCCGGGCCCCTGGGGGCGACGTTACCCCTTACCGGGCCCCTGGGGGTGACGTTCCCCCTTGGCGGGCCCTTGAGGGCGCCACCATACCTGAGAGGTGTCCTGGGGGCACCGGTGCCCCTAGGAGAGACCCTGTGGGCGCCACCGCACCTGGTAAAGCCCCTGGGTGCGCCACCACCCATGGCAGGGCCCCTGGGTGCGCCGCCACACATGGCAAGGCCCCTCGGGGCACCGACAGCCCCGGGAGAGCCCCTAAGGGCGACGCACCTGGTAGGGCAAATAGTAGGGCCTCAGGGGGCACTATCACTGGATTGGCCGTGGGGGCAGTTGTTTTTTTGCACATTTAGAACACTGGGAGATATGAATAAAAACACACCCATCGCATATCCAGTATCATCACACCATCAACAATGTAAAGGAGAATAAATATCCAACAGGAAAACATAAGCTGGGGTGTTGTGCTGACTGTCTGCTCTGTTCTCCTATTGGCTGTTATTTGGATTTACATTTTAGTCCACCAATCACAGTTAAGTAAGGGATTGCTGGACGTATGTAATATGTACGACACCACGACCCGGAGCTACAGTTCTCTCGGCAGGGGGCTCCTCTGGGAGGGCCCCTTAGGGTCTAGCCGGCCCTTGGGGCCCCACTGCTTCTGGAAGATCCCCTGGGGGCACCGCTGACCCTGAGGAGAGTTCCTGGGGGCATCGCTTCCCCTAAGAAGGGCCCCTTGGGGCGACGTTACCCCTTGGCGGGCCCCTGGGGGCGACGTTACCCCCTGGCGGGCCCCTGGGGGCGACGTTACCCCTTGGCGGGCCCCTGGGGGTGACATTCTTCCTTGGCGGGCCCCTGAGGGCGCCACCACACCTGAGAGGTGTCCTGGGGGCACCGGTGCCCCTAGGAGAGACCCTCTGGGCGCCACGGCACCTGGTAAAGCCCCTGGGTGCGCCACCACCCATGGCAGGGCCCCTGGGTGCGCCGCCACCCATGGCAAGGCCCCTCGGGGCACCGACAGCCCTGGGAGAGCCCCTAAGGGTGACGCACCTGGTAGGGCAAATAGTAGGGCCTCAGGGGACACTATCACTGGATTGACGTGTGGGGGCAGTTGTTTTTGCACATTTAGAACACTGGGAGATATGAATAAAAACACCGCCCATAGCATATCCAGTATCATCACACCATCAACAATGTAAAGGAGAATAAATATCCAACAGGAAAACATATTGGGGTGTTGTGCTGACTGTCTGCTCTGTTCTCCTATTGGCTGTTATTTGGATTTACATTTTAGTCCACCAATCACAGTTAAGTAAGGGATTGCTGGACGTATGTAGTATGTACGACACCACGACCCGGAGCTACAGTTCTCTCCGCAGGGGGCTCCTCTGGGAGGGCCCCTTAGGGTCTAGCCGGCCCTTGGGGCCCCACTGCTTCTAGAAGATCCCCTGGGGGCACCGCTGACCCTGAGGAGAGTTCCTGGGGGCATCGCTTCCCCTAAGAAGGGCCCCTTGGGGCGACGTTACCCCTTGGCGGGCCCCTGGGGGCGACGTTACCCCTTGGTGGGCCCCTGGCGACGTCGTTACCCCTTGGCGGGCCCCTGGGGGTGACGTTACCCCTTGTTGGGCCCCTGGGGGCGACGTTACCCCTTGGCGGGCCCCTGGGGGTGACGTTACCCCTTGTTGGGCCCCTGGGGGCGACGTTACCCCTTGGCGGGCCCCTGGGGGTGACGTTACCCCTTGGTGGGCCCCTGGGGGCGACGTTACCCCTTGGCGGGCCCCTGGGGGCGACGTTACCCCTTGTTGGGCCCCTGGGGGCGACATTACCCCTTGGCGGGCCCCTGGGGGTGACGTTCCCCCTTGGCGGGCCCCTGAGGGCGCCACCATACCTGAGAGGTGTCCTGGGGGCACCGGTGCCCCTAGGAGAGACCCTGTGGGCGCCACCGCACCTGGTAAAGGCCCTGGGTGCGCCACCACCCATGGCAGGGCCCCTGGGTGCGCCGCCACCCATGGCAAGGCCCCTCCGGGCACCGACAGCCCTGGGAGAGCCCCTAAGGGCGACGCACCTGGTAGGGCAAATAGTAGGGCCTCAGGGGACACTATCACTGGATTGACGTGTGGGGGCAGTTGTTTTTGCACATTTAGAACACTGGGAGATATGAATAAAAACACCGCCCATCGCATATCCAGTATCATCACACCATCAACAATGTAAAGGAGAATAAATATCCAACAGGAAAACATAAGTTGGGGTGTTGTGCTGACTGACTGCCCTATTCTCCTATTGGCTGTTATTTGGATTTATATTTTAATCCACCAATCACAGCTAAGTAAGGGATTGGTGGACGTATGTAATATGCACGACACCACGACGCAAAGCTATAGTTCTCTTGGCTGGGGGCTCCTCTGGGAGGGCCCCTGGGAGGGCCCCTTAGGGTCTAGCCGGCCCTTGGGGCCCCACTGCTTCTGGAAGATCCCCTGGGGGCACCGCTGACCCTGAGGAGAGTTCCTGGGGGCATCGCTTCCCCTAAGAAGGGCCCCTTGGGGCGACGTTACCCCTTGGCGGGCCCCTGGGGGCAACGTTACCCCTTGCCGGGCCCCTGGGGGCGACGTTACCCCTTACCGGGCCCCTGGGGGTGACGTTCCCCCTTGGCGGGCCCTTGAGGGCGCCACCATACCTGAGAGGTGTCCTGGGGGCACCGGTGCCCCTAGGAGAGACCCTGTGGGCGCCACCGCACCTGGTAAAGCCCCTGGGTGCGCCACCACCCATGGCAGGGCCCCTGGGTGCGCCGCCACACATGGCAAGGCCCCTCGGGGCACCGACAGCCCCGGGAGAGCCCCTAAGGGCGACGCACCTGGTAGGGCAAATAGTAGGGCCTCAGGGGGCACTATCACTGGATTGGCCGTGGGGGCAGTTGTTTTTTTGCACATTTAGAACACTGGGAGATATGAATAAAAACACACCCATCGCATATCCAGTATCATCACACCATCAACAATGTAAAGGAGAATAAATATCCAACAGGAAAACATAAGCTGGGGTGTTGTGCTGACTGTCTGCTCTGTTCTCCTATTGGCTGTTATTTGGATTTACATTTTAGTCCACCAATCACAGTTAAGTAAGGGATTGCTGGACGTATGTAATATGTACGACACCACGACCCGGAGCTACAGTTCTCTCGGCAGGGGGCTCCTCTGGGAGGGCCCCTTAGGGTCTAGCCGGCCCTTGGGGCCCCACTGCTTCTGGAAGATCCCCTGGGGGCACCGCTGACCCTGAGGAGAGTTCCTGGGGGCATCGCTTCCCCTAAGAAGGGCCCCTTGGGGCGACGTTACCCCTTGGCGGCCCCTGGGGGCGACGTTACCCCCTGGCGGGCCCCTGGGGGCGACGTTACCCCTTGGCGGGCCCCTGGGGGTGACATTCTTCCTTGGCGGGCCCCTGAGGGCGCCACCACACCTGAGAGGTGTCCTGGGGGCACCGGTGCCCCTAGGAGAGACCCTCTGGGCGCCACGGCACCTGGTAAAGCCCCTGGGTGCGCCACCACCCATGGCAGGGCCCCTGGGTGCGCCGCCACCCATGGCAAGGCCCCTCGGGGCACCGACAGCCCTGGGAGAGCCCCTAAGGGTGACGCACCTGGTAGGGCAAATAGTAGGGCCTCAGGGGACACTATCACTGGATTGGCCGTGGGGGCAGTTGTTTTTGCACATTTAGAACACTGGGAGATATGAATAAAAACACACCCATCGCATATCCAGTATCATCACACCATCAACAATGTAAAGGAGAATAAATATCCAACAGGAAAACATAAGCTGGGGTGTTGTGCTGACTGTCTGCTCTGTTCTCCTATTGGCAGTTATTTGGATTTACATTTTAGTCCACCAATCACAGTTAAGTAAGGGATTGGTGGACGTATGTAATATGTAGGACACCACGACCGAAAGCTATAGGTCTCTTGGTAGGAGGCTCCTCTGGGAGGGCCCCTTAGGGTCCCCACTGCTTCTGGAAGATCCCCTGGGGGCACCGCTGACCCTGAGGAGAGTTCCTGGGGGCATCGCTTCCCCTAAGAAGGGCCCCTTGGGGCGACGTTCCCCCTTGGCGGGCCCCTGGGGGCGACGTTACCCCTTGGCGGGCCCCTGGGGGGTGACGTTGCCCCTTGGCGGGCCCCTGGGGGTGACGTTCCCCCTTGGCGGGCCCCTGAGGGCGCCACCACACCTGAGAGGTGTCCTGGGGGCACCGGTGCCCCTAGGAGAGACCCTGTGGGCGCCACTGCACCTGGTAAAGCCCCTGGGTGCGCCACCACCCATGGCAGGGCCCCTAGGTGCGCCGCCACCCATGGCAAGGCCTCTCGGGGCACCGACAGCCCTGGGAGAGCCCCTAAGGGCGACGCACCTGGTAGGGCAAATAGTAGGGCCTCAGGGGACACTATCACTGGATTGACGTGTGGGGGCAGTTGTTTTTGCACATTTAGAACACTGGGAGATATGAATAAAAACACCGCCCATCGCATATCCAGTATCATCACACCATCAACAATGTAAAGGAGAATAAATATCCAACAGGAAAACATAAGTTGGGGTGTTGTGCTGACTGACTGCCCTATTCTCCTATTGGCTGTTATTTGGATTTATATTTTAGTCCACCAATCACAGTTAAGTAAGGGATTGGTGGACGTATGTAATATGTAAGACACCACGACC